TATATATACACAGTATATATAGTTGTTATACCTATTAATTGTTAGCCTGGTTAAATCCAGATCTTTGTCCTTCGCTTTGCATCATATGAGGGTCTGGACTCTCGGCTATAGAGAAGCGATTCTTGCTTGGAGGCGTGGCCTCTATTGAAGTTTTAAACGATTGGATCAGTTGGCCGCAACGTATGTGTATGCCAGCTCCACTGTGAAGGAGGCTAAGCTAAGAAGCTAACCGGAAATTGCGTGGGCTGTAAACAACCCTACTGAGAGGAGAGAAGTACCGATGAGAGCTGCTGCTTTGTCAGACAAATTAAATTTATTTTGGAAGCCTTATCAACAGGGACTGGCTTCATTTACTTCCTCCACTGTTATTGCTAAAATAACTAGCAGTCACTGCGCAGAAAATTGACGTCAGTCAAAACTCCACCTGCTGTTTGTTGATTGGCCCAGGTGACATTAACTAAAAGCAGACACTGCACAGAAAATCGACGTTGTCATTCAAAACTCTGCTTTCTGTTCTCTGATTGGCCCTGACAAAAGTTCTCCTGAAGAAATCCTTGTCTGTGGGAGAAATCCCAGACGGAGCAGTAAAGGGAAACTAGAATGGAGCGGAACTGCGTAGGAAGGCAAGGGCCAGGATAATTAATAGTCAATGTTGATTGTTTTTGTCACTGAAACTACAACTAATGCAAGTTGTATATTTTAATTGGCAATTGTTCACTGCCTATTCAGAATTTTTCCCAATGCTTAAATGCTTCAGTTTTTATAATTATTTTGATTTTTTCCCAGTTGAGCAGAATGAATTCAACACCTACACACACATTCAAATTGAGAACAAAAAAAAAACCTTCCTGCTTTTACTTTGAAGAAGTCATCATCCTCTAAACATCATTTAGTTTCATGTTGATGAAATTTTATGAAGTTGAACTTTTTTAAACCACTGTCACAATCTGTCACACATTTTATGGCCCTGCAGAAAATAAACTTTAGTTTTTATTTCCTTTCCAAAATATAGCATCCTGCTGCTCCTGCTAATAATTTGACATCACGGTTTGGGTTTTAAAGTCTGAATCTTGGTTTTGCTTCTGCTGTCATCAACACGATTCTTTGCTGCATCCAGCTGCTGTTTTTCAGAGAATCGTTTTTAAAAACCTGAGCACAGTGAGGAATTTATCAGCAAAAGAGACAGATATTTCCCTCAGGGGTTGGTGGAGACCAAAATCAGACCAGGGACTATTAGCCTTTCATTTACCGGATGACCAGAAACTGTCTTCATATGAATGCTAATGTTGTTTGCTATCTGCTGGATGCTTAAAAAGACAAATGTTACATAACAAGCTCATTATATCAACTGAAACGGCAATAATATGCCGTGCTTTGTCTTTATACCCCACTTCCACAAAATGGTAAAAAGAAAAAAAAATCACAGTTCAAATATAACATCAGATTAAGCCCTCCACAATGAGACATTACATTATTAATGGAGTGTGAATACAGGTGCGCCGACAAACTCTGCAACAGCAATCGTTGAGACAGAAACCTCATACTGCATTGATCTTACATTTCTCAACCAAATCATCCGTGAATCCTTTAATGACAAAAAGTCGTGTTGCCATTAACAGGCACAGGAAAAACACTGATACACAAAGCTCGGGTGTCACACAGATTAAATAAAATCACACGGTAATKACAAAGGGGTGGAAGCTTGGATATTTAAAAGTTAAGTTTAAAACTTGTACTTGAAAGAAAAATATATATATTCTTAAATGAATTATTGTGTAAAATAATGCATGAGAATGGAAAATGAACAGCAGTTTCATAAAATGTTTTTACTGAAGCTTCTGTTAGCACTTGAAGTATGTGATGAGGATGACTGTCGGCTACTTCCACCCCAAATATTAGCTCAGTGTCTTTGAAATTTACTGAGTTATAGCCACTTCTGTTTGCAAATGTGTGGCGGCCATCTTGAATTAAGCTGACTTCAAAAGTTAATGAGTTGTGGATGTACATCCAATGATTACTCTGCAAATTATATTAAAGTCCATCAAATGGTTCATGAAATATTTTGCTGACAGACAGATAAAAACACATTTACATGAAAACTTGCCTTCATGGTGAAACAGTATTGTCCAGGATGTACCCCGCCCCTYGCACTGCGACTGCTGGATATGGGCACCAGTGACCCTGAAAGGGAGAAACGGGTATAGATCATGGATGGATGGATGTTTTGAAGGGGGTCTCAGCAGTCACTAACTGGGRCGTTCTTGGTGTATGGGAGGCGTTTGTAAAAGACATGGTCAGCTTAAGTGTTTTGGGTGGGGTTTGAAGAAGCCTTAATGATTTGGTTGGGTGAATGCAGGGCAACTTTGGAATCCTGTAAATTTATCAAAACATCTAATGCTAGTTGCATCAAATTTGAAGTCAATAAATTATATTTGCATTGTCACAATAATTTTACTATTACTTCAAAACTTTATGTTTTAATTTGCTTGGCAAAACAAGTCAGTCTGAACAATTGCAGTTTTGTCAAACTCCTCCCACACTCAAGAACCTCTGCCCATATTCCAAACTATGTCAATCACGGTTAGGACAAACTTCGTCCACAATAAAGAACTCCACCAATCACGGTTAGGACAAACAAAGCCATGAATCCCCACCAAGTACTGTAGAGATCCCCTACTTGGATAAGTTTGCAAGAAATTAAAACCCATTGATTTTTTTGGTTAAAATGTCAAAGTTTGCATCAAAATTAGGCATACATTTAATACTTTTGCCAATTTAGTTTTTAAATTCATTTTAATTTAACCACTTCTTTAAAAGGCAAAAAGCAATATTATCTCCATCTCAACATCAGTTTAGAAAATGGCAAGTTTAAAAGGAGAAACGTTTGAAACAGAAACACCATCTGCTAAAACCCCAAGGTTTGGAGTGTGTTGTTGTGACAATGCTGCGAATTATGTAGCAGCTGGTGTCAGCACTTTTGGCATCATTATGACTGTAACCAAAGCAGGGTCTCTATTTTGATTCCTAAAAATCAATAAAATTGTCAGAAAGTGTGAAATTAAAATCACATCATCCAAACTGTTTGGATGAAAAAATAATTAAATTAGCTTGACCTTTAATCTATTCAGTGCCTTCAGGGCTTTCACACCCTCACTGTCCATCAATCTCACACAAAAAACAAACAAAAAACACTAAATGGACTCATGACAAATCAAATACTATATGTTGCTTTGCATTTGGTCTCAATTTAAGACAACTGGACAGAGAAATCAGATCCTGCATGAACATAAATGTACAATCTTAATGTACAAAGTATCTTAATTTCATTTTTTATCCATATGCTTTAACCTCACTGCTCCCCTTAAACTTTTACTCATATTCAGCTACTGTGCCTAAACCCCTTCTCATGATGTCAGCTGATAAAAAAAGCACATTTCTTTCTTCACTGAGCTCYTCTGATGCACGCAAACTTCTCTACTGTTTATCATTAATTATTCGGCTTACTCTCCCACCTGTTTTTCATCATTTCTATTATTCAAACTCTCCTCTGAGCATTCCTCAGCAAAAAMCACACAACTGTTGTTTTGATTTTGGAGTGTGAACTAAAATGAACTAAGTTTATCAGTGAACACTTCCATCTGTCAGCTATCTCACTTCAAAGAGTCTGAAATGAGCTTTTTTTATCTGAGCGGGAGGTAAAAGTTGGGTTGAACAGGGGTAAAGAAATCAACAAACATTTGATTATAGGCTGGATGGATTTTAATGAAACTCAYAAAGTAATTATCGGATAAAAGTCTACAACTGATTAACTCTTGGTGTCAACCCAATTCAGGATGCCTACCACAGATAATCAATCATAGAAAATATGAAAATTGCTAAAAAACTTTGCAATATTTACCAACATTTAACTAAAGTTTGATCAACTCAGTTCCCCCMTCATCATACGATGACATCAAAGGCAGCAAACAACAAGCATCCCTTCAAGAAATGCTAGGTTTTTAATTYKTTTGTTGCATTTCCTACAAATTAAAGCTACAAGTAAAGCTGACCATACTGTAGCTCATCTTAAGTCAAAGAAGTGATTAAGATGCGCGAATGAGGATGCTGTTTGTCTTTTCTTAATTCCTCACATTATAAATCTGCTACAGTGAGAAGAGATGTTTTGATGAAAACAGAAGAGTGCAAATTAAATTAGACGCCTATTCTTTTCATTTGTGTGTCTTGATTAACAAAAATGGTTGACAAAAGAAGGCCAGTTAAGCTGCAAGAAATGTGACTTTAAATTAGAGTGATTGCAAAAGTATCTTTGAGTGTGATACCACTGATGGTGAAGTGTGCGGTTGTTAAAGCTTGGTAAGGAGAGGGAAAAATTCTAATAAAAAAAGAGAAATCATTGGTCTAATCAGTTGTGTTTTGGTCTCATCCACTCAACCTATTTCACTCTTTTATGTACAATTGTTTCATTTCAGCTTTATTCATTAGAAAATAAAGAAGAACAGCAGCTGATCCAAAACATGAGAAATTATCAAAATCTGTGGATGAGGAAACAAAAGCAGTGATTTAGACCTGAGCACAAACAGCTCAATGTTGCAACTCCACACATCAGAACAAAAATGACTAAATAAAGTGTGAGGAAGTGTTGTTGTCAACATGTGTAAGGACCAACAAGCCRAACGGAGCTAACAGAGGCACCGCTGGGCTCCACATCCAATAACAACTGTCAGAGTAAAAAGTACCTGTTGTCCTGGTGACTGTGGCAACCTGAGCAACAAGTCAGAATGGTTGCTCAGTTGTTTCATTCATATTACCTTTAATTAGGTTTAGTTTATTTTTGCTAACTGAACTTGCAGGGGTTTTGTTATTAATTTTTCCTCGCCACTAAAGGTTTATTTCTTTCATTATTTTCAAATTAATGAGCTAAAATACARTATGTTTCCAGCATCTTATTTGTTAGCTGGCATCTTTAAAACTGAACATTTCAAACAGTCTCCTCAGGATCAGTTTCTCAGTTTATCAGTTTTTCTTCGGGAACATTCTGACACCAACTTAATATCTAACAGTTTTGGATCACTGGACAAACAAATCAATGTCATTAAATTGCAATTTAGAACTAAAGAACCATTTATCACCATTTGTATTGACAATTACCCAATTCACTCAGAACTACTGAAGGGATTAATGACAATTATTGTCATCTGTGGCATTAAAATATTGCATTATTTAAGAAATAACRTGTTATTAAAAGTTAAGTTTATAACAATTCGCCAACTGCAAACAAAACTAACAATTAACTGAAGTAAAAAGGTTTGTTTATTTGTTCTGATTGGAAAGTCCCCTAATATCTGTCACATTAATCTACTGTAGGTATTTCTTTAAAACCTGCTGGGATTTATGAACGTATTTGTACATTCTTTAAAGTTTCCTACAAATTGGTTTTGTTGGGAACTGTTGCTTTAAACTGAATAAAGTTGTGTTGATTGAATCCCTCAGTGTTTAGATGACCTGATGTTGGATGAAAAAGTGTTTGGTTTTTGGTTGTTTTGTTGCACAACTTTGACACAAGTGCTGTGTTCATGAGCTCACATGTAACCAATATAGAAAAAGTAAAGCTTTTTTTGGTATCTGACTAAGAAAGAGCATTTTATAAATATGTGACAAGTACAATAAATGCTAACAAAATTRTTCAAAAGAGCAGCCTAAATGCCTCCTGGTAAATTTTAAATTTCAACGAAAATATTGTTTTTATAGACAAATACTGTGTCTTCTGGTACAGAAAAACACGAGGCCTAAAAACCTGTTTAGCTCAGCTATGTCCTCACAGAATGCCTGTACACCTCTGAAATTAAAAAAAGGTAGTTGTGGCACATTATTACTTCTGCTTTTGGTATTTCTCAGTTTTAGAAAATAACCTAAAGATGTTTTTAGTTTAAAAATAAAATTGAATCAACTCAAACCTATTAACACTTGAAATAATAAAAACGCTTTGGTGCATAAATTTAGGGTGTAAGCTTTCATAAATATGCAGAATAGGGCCACACAAGATTTTTTTTTTTTTTACTAAGAGAAAAAGTCGTAATTTTACGACATTAAAGTCAGAATATTACAGCACAAACTGGATCTGAGACAAGGGACCACTTTGCTTTACAGGTTTTTGCTCGACGGAAGCAGGGGCGGTTCTAGGGGTAGGGCCACAGGGGYATTGGCCCCATCTGAAATCTGATTGGCCCCCTGAAATGCCCCGGTCCTTTCACTCATCTGTCCTTGCCCAAGAACAATGATGATGGATGCAGTTCCACTTCCAACCACTACTGGCGCCAGTGAGTCAGGTAGAAAAGTCCAATATAAAGCAAGCTTACAGTCTTTTTTGATTTGAACAATCCTGCAGGGAAAACAATTTTTTTTTCTTGATCAGTGACACCAAAACAAAACAAAAGTTTATTTTTGATGGGTAGATTTTCTTACATGTGTGYGTTTAAGAGTATTTTATTTATGTACAGTAAGAAATCATGTAAAGTTGATAAGGGGAAATTACTGTGCAGGCTTTTACAAGTGTTTGAACACGTGTGACTGATTAAGTGTATAAACCTTACAAAAACTGGGGATTTGTGTGCAAGGATGTTGAAAAAATGCTTGGCCCCTCTATGATTGTCGCCCCTTGATGGCCCCTTACACTAAAAAATCCTAGATCTGCCACTGTACAGAAGTTCCATTTAAAGTTGCAGTGTAAAACATTTCTACTTGTCTAGAAGCAAAGCAGTTAAAATATTTATAAATCTGTTATAATTTGTGGCAATGCAGCCCACCTCACAGCATAAACCAAAGACCTCATCTCTTTGTTTTAAACTCAGTAATGTGGGATTGCTCAGGTGTGCTCCAACAGTTTCTTCAAATACAACACAGACACGTTAAATTAAAGTTTCAAGAGGAGTTTGTTTTTTGAAAATGCATCTTTACACTCTTTAACCTGGAAATGCAGATAAAAAAGAAGAAGAAAAAGAAATGAAGCGTTAAATAAATTATTTTTTTGTAAACATGATAATTAAAAGAAGATCAGCAAAATTCCAACCATTCTCCAGTTTGTTTTTCATTAAATTTCTGTCTCACTCATGAAATTAAACTTCTCCCGCGCAATTCACTGTTTTGCATGATTTGTCATGAAACAATAATATTAGMCCGCGCTC